GTTCGAGCCCCGCATCGGGCTCTGTGCTGACTGCCAGCTCAGAGCCTGGAGACTGTTTCAGAGTCTGTGACTCTCTCTCTCTGACCCTCCCCTGCTCGCTCGCTCTCTCTCTCTCCTAGAAATAAATTAAAAAACATATAAAAAAATTTAAAAAAAAAAGAATTTTAAAAACTTCAGATATCTTTAACTTTACTCAATAGTCTCATTAGTAGTAATACTGAATTACGATTCAAAGGGAGAAAGAATCCCAAGGCCAGCAACCTACTGTGGAAAGAGGAGCTGGACTTGCTTCCAGCTATCCCAGTGGGACCTGAGATAACTTGTTACTGTTCACAGGGCGGCAGGGAGCAGACACAGCAGGGAAGCAGCTTGGCCTGGCCTAGCACCTGTCAGACCTGGGCTTCTGCCCCAGACCTGCAGGTCCCCCGGAGAGAGCAGCCGGTGGGGGGCAGGGCGGGGAGGGGGGTTCCCTCCCTCCCTCCCTCCTCCCTCCTAGCAACTTTACTGCCTGAGCACCACGAGGTAGGAGGGAAGTTTCAGAGCCTGAGAAGAGAATCTTGGAGGCAGGTTAGTGCCGAAGGGCCTTTAAAATAAGTATCTGATGAGTGGTTTGGCAGCGGTGGTGGCTCATCCACTCCCCCCCCACCCCTGTCCACCCTGCCGAACTTCTGGCCCCTTCAGGCCCAAGCAGCCGCCAGCAAGCAGACAGAGTGGTTAAATCACTCCTGGCACTGACCTCATCTCAGCCCTGGCGGGGCACGGGCAGGGCCCCCCCCCCCCCCACCGCATGAGGTGGGGGCAGATATCCTTTTCAAGCAGTCACAGGCTTCACCAGCTGGAATCCCCCCATCTCCACACAGCAGCTCCTACTAGGGGAAGCCGCATACGAGCCTTACACTCTGTCCTTGGCGTGGCCCTCAGGCTGGTGGTATCAGCATGCACGATACTCCAGGAACCCAAGCTATGCAGGATCCCAGGAGCGCTTGTGACATGAAGCAGAGTGACCATGCCTGGTTCCCCACCAGCGGTCAGAGGACATCTCACCCCTGCGGCCCACCCACCACCCCTGCAGCATGCTTCCTGACCTGTCTCTTCTTCGGGGAAGTTCCTGCAGCAGAGGCTGGAGGATCAAGATGTCCCATGTCTGGTGTGTCAGCGGGGCCGAGCCCAACCCACCCCACTGAGCGGGGAGCTCTCATAACTGACCCATCAGAGGCCAGGAGGAGCTGAGAGGAAGGAAGACTCATACTGTTCTCATACCATTTCCCATGGGGACATTCTCCAGCGTTTTCAGTTTCAACCTGACTACCTATTTCCTCTACTCTGCCTCATCTTGACAGACATCGTTGATGCTTCCAATTGTAGGCACCCAGCAGTCCTGACTTCTTCCAACACAAAGAAACAAAAATAAACCCATGCGTTCCCTAAGAAATGAGTCCAAGGTCCGCCAGTCTGGAAATACAGGAAGACTCCCCACACGAAGGAAGCGAGGGCCTCTGACTTTGTCTCCCCACACTTTCAGGGCTGTCTACCAGACCACATTCAGAGCTGCCTAGAATGCTGGACTAGGGAGATCATGTAAAGCCCCCGTCAACACTGGGAGCTGATGGCAAACCCACATCTGTCCCTTTTAGGACCCTCAGTGTGGCCTGGGCTGTGTAAACAGGCCTCTCTGGAAGGCGTAGAAGTCATAAAGGGCTCATAATCCAGCCCACAAGGCACTGTGTCTGCAGTTTCTGTTGTCTCCACTGACAGTGTTTTGTAGATCCCTAGATGACAGATGTTACTCCCCTGGAGATGTGCATTTATTGGCCCAGTCTGGAATGGAACCCGGACATTAACTTTTTCAGTAGTTATAGCAGTTCTTATCTGTGTGGACCCTCATAGTTCCCTCCGGACTTCCGTGACTCTTCTGCCTGCCTAAGGCTACCTTCCAAGGTTCCCTTCCTATCGCTAGGTCCATTCCTTTCCTATGACCTGCCCTGGAATGATGTCCCCCTTCAGGGGACATCCACCACTCGCAAGGTGACAGTCCTCTGCCCAGCAGCCAAATCAGAAGGCCAACAGTCACATGACACTTGTCCCAGGGGCCTCGCCCCACCCCACTGCAGCCTCTCAGGTATAAATTGGATGAACACATCTTTGCTTCCCCCTCAGCTCTCATTGTCTGGAAGCCTGCTTCCCATGGCCTGCCTGCCGCCTTCCTCCTTAGTCTGTAAACTGAAGAAATAGAAAAGGGACCTTACCTAGTCCAAGATTTACTTTAGTTTTAGTTGAATTGGCTGATTGGGTTAGTCCACTCAACTGACCCCAGGGGAGGGTGAACAATCCACAAGAAGAGGTTTTCATGGCATGGAGGCAGCATGGAAACACAGTGGACCTTGTGTGGATTGTCCCACCTGAACTTGCAGACCCCATCTCTGTTCTCTAGAAGGTGAGTATCACACCTCCTGACACCACAGGAGGAAAATCTGGAGTAAGATTTTCTATGCTACTGATGGTAATGTTTTGCTTTTCAAAAACAAGTAACACACACGGAAAGACATTCAATATTATTGGTCGCTGGAGAAATTCTAATGTAAACCAGAATGAGATACTATTTCATGCTAACCAGGGTGGCCACGATGATAGATGATGATGGTCATGATGGTGGTGGTGGTAATAATAATAACAGAAAATAACAAGTGTGGGTGAGGATGTGGAAGAATTGGAACTCGCACACATTGCTGGCGGGAATGGAAAAAGGTACCACCTCTGTGGGAAACAGTGTTCATTTAAAGTCAGCATATGGTCCAGTAATTCCGTTCCTAAGGATACGACCAAAAGAATTCAAACAGGCACTCTAGTACCTGCTTATACTGATACATATGATGATGAGGGTGAATCTCAAAAACATGAAACACCCAGAAAAGGAAAATCTATAAAATCAGAAGCAGATTGGTGGTTGCCGGGGGCTGGGGGGTGGGAGGCACTGAAGAGTGACTGCTTCATGGGTTTCCTTTTGGGGTAATAAAAATATTCTGGAATTAGATAGAGGAGCAGGCTATACAACATGTAAATGTACTAAATGCCACCGGACTGTTCCCTGACAAATGGTTCGATTTATGTTCTATGAATTTTACCTAGATTTAAAAAAATGTTAATACTTATGAAGGAGAAAAAACAAAACAAGCATCAGTCCACTAGGTGGCTTCTCAGAGGCTGTCACCTTACCACGATCATATCAAGGCAAAGGATATATCTTCTGTGACTAAATGATTTGCCCCAGCTCTGCTGTGATGTCAGTCCTGCAATAAACATCTTCACCCTGGGGACCTGTCCCAGTGCTTTGTCTTCTTCAGCCTCCACCTCCTTGCTCAGTACCACCGAGAACAACAGAGGAAGCAGAGGCTTCCTTAACTAGAGGGTCAGACTTACACCCGAGAATTTCTAACTGCATTTTCATTGTATTCGCATAGAAAGGGAAAATACCCAGTTTTAAGCCCCAGCTTTGAGCCATTGAAAGGTCTTGGGTATAAGGAGAACTCAAACATGTTTAATATTAAGTCTACCTAGAAATTTCAGCTTAATCATTCTAAACAAACAACAGCAGAAGGAAGTGGTAATAATCTACCCTTTGCTCTAATTTTAAAATGTGAATAATTAACTTTCCAGGAAAAAAAAAAGCCAAAGTTTTAAGAGCAGTTCTGTAAATATCCAATTCAAAAATAGATAATCGCTGGTGCCCGTGATTTATTGTGGTGGCATTCCCATGGAATCAGTCACTACTTCGGTTAAACTACTGAAGCATTAACGCCCTTAAGTTCTGCTTTTGGCAATTAACTGCTGGGCAATACGGATTTTTTTATGGGGTTAGGCTTGTGTAAAGGCACAAAAAGTTCACATTTTTGCTACATCAAATTTCATGACCACAACATTGCTGTTACCACAGATTTTTATTTTCTTGTTTTAATCTTTTAATGTTTTTTATTTATTTCTGAGGGAGAGAGCGTGAGCAGGGGAGGGTCAGGCAGAGAGGGAGACACAGAATCTGAAATGGGCTCCAGGCTCTGAGCTGGCTGTCAGCATAGAGCCTGACGCGGGGCTCGAACCCACAAACCCTGAGATCATGACCTGAGCCAAAGTCGGACGCTTCACTGACTGAGCCACCCAGGCACCCCACAGGTTTTTATTTTCTAAAAGTCAGCTTCTCCCAGGTAGAACTGCTCATGCTTAGTGATTATTTCTGGTTTATGTCTAGAATTAAATACTTACCCTTGCACCCAACTTTTCAAATGCTGTTGTTCATCAGTGGCCTGATAAGAATAAAAGTCAGTGGCCCAGGCAGTCTGGCACGGATGTGTTGCAGCCGAAAGGCACATCCTTCTAGGGGAATTTAGTCACCCAGTTAGCCCAAGAAATCTCTTCTCTGACAGTGTCATTTCACAATAAGGAGGCCTCAGGATATCAATGTGCCGTCTCCCTGTCCCAGTATAAACGACCTAATTACCTTCTTGCAAAATGAAAGAAAAGAGGAAGAGGAGGAAGAAGGAAGACAGGGAAAGGGAAGGCAAGAAGAGGAAGAAATACTAAAGAACTTAGGAGAGTAACCTAGCTTCTCTGCTTTAGAAGCAGTTAACATTGGAAACAGAATGGACCAGGCTAAACATTAACAGCTGCCTCTGGTCAGCCTTTGACATCACAGGGTAGGGACATGCTGGCTCTCAGAACCCAGCTGGATGGGTTCAAAACCCAACGTCACCACTGAGAAGCAGTGTCACTTGGAATAACTTAATTAGCCTCTTGGAACCTTTGTTTCTTCATCTACCTGCTTGAATGTAGTAGGTCTAAATGAGAGAATCAGCTGATGGACACCTTGCCTCTCCGGCAGTCCAGAGTGCTTAATCCAGAACGTTCGCCACTGATGTTGATACTGAAATGCCAAGGAAATCAGAACAGAGCCAATGCCATTGTATTTTTTTTTATTACAAAACAAATTAAATAAAATAGTGATTGATTTTATGTACAGTTGAACTGGAGTCCACAGCTCATGGTGGGGAAGGCTCAGAAGATGGGGATAAGGATGTGGTTGCCCCGAAATCTTTTTCTTCATATCTGGGAGGCAGTTCAGAGGAGAGATAAGGAGTGTATGAGGTCCCAGCAGATGAAGGAGTCCTGGAAATGGTGTATATAGATCCACAATCTCTCTCAGAGGCCACTCCTTGGCCCTCAGGAGTGGGGGTCCTACTAAAAAGAACAAAGGAGAACAGAAAGAAAGGAGGGGAGAATAGTAACAGATGTTAAATAGGAGGTTCTTTTCAAACGTTTAATTATATGCTTTTAGGAGCATGTGCAAGGGTCTCAGGAGTAATTTCTTCCACATTCTCTTTCCTACAGATGAATCTTGATCCCTTACTCCCTACTTTCCTTACAGCTGATTCTAACATTAAGAGTTTCACCCTTTTTGTTCCCCTTGACATTGAGAAGACACGAAGTAGGAATGTATCAGTGCCGTCCAAGATGAGGGGACACACACAGAGTTACTCTTCTCTGCCATTTTGTCTTCTGAGAGCTAGCATAGGGCATACAGACTTATGCAAATAGAAAGTTAAATCAAACCAAAAATTGAATGGTTACTGGAGTGAGTTCTACCAGCAGGCAGACTTGTCTCTAAATTTCCATTCCGCTGCCTTCTAGCTGTGTGATCATGAGCAAGTTATTTAACCTCGCTAAGCCTCGGTATCCTCATCTGTAAAATGGGGATGATAAGAATGCCTACTCTCCTACTTATGAGAATTACACGAGATAATGCAAGTAAAGCCAGACCGTGGTAAATAGGAAATCATGGTAGTAGCAAATAGAAGGTTTTTGTTGTTTTTGTTTTTTAAGTTAATAGACATTTATTTAGGGCTTGGGGAAGTTCATCACTGGGGAAAAGAATATACAAAATTCACTAACAGAATTCTACAAATGTCCGGAACGTAACCTCCCCTTCATCCATACAGGACAATTCCTAGATCCATCTCTGGTTGGATCTCCAGCTCACCACCCAGTTTGAGGCATAAGAAGAACACGGGCCTTAAACATGAAGGACCATGTAAGGCAGCACCCATCCCCACCATTCCCTCTGGGTCTCTTGGGTCCCGCTTTCTCAGCATCCCTGAACTTCAGTCTGGCCACCTCCAGCCTTTCCCCATTAGGAACTGCACCAGCCACCACTTGTATCCCATGGCGCTGTCTCTAAAACCTTCAACTGCATCCCTCTGCAGGAAGGAAAAACACTTAGATGTATGTTGTTTAATCTGACCCCAGGTGTGCCTCCTAATGTGTGGCATATGGGGAGCATGGGTGATGGAGTGTGAATCTCGTCCTTCTCTTCATTCAATCTGAGAAGGCTCTGAAGCCCAGGGAATAACTGAATATTGAGAAGAGAAGCCAAACTTGGTCAGGTCAGGGTGCAAGTTGATTTTAACCAGTCACCCAAGTACCTCGATGAGGTACTGAACACCTGTGTACACAGGTACTCCAACACGTCCCCTGAGGGACCCCCACATCTCCCCATGATCTAAAGCGGCGAAGCCTACCTACCATAGCAGGGGGCCTTACGAGCCCCCGCCGCAGGGCTCAGTCTGGCTAATAAAGTGTTAAACATTTGGAGGCTTGTCCATGCTGGGAGCACATAAAGATGCCTGGAGAAGGCTTCATGTTAATCCGGCATAATCACCTTTATCATGTTTAATGTATGTGCTGCCCACAGTTTCCTGAAAGGTACTGTTAATATTAAGGCAATAATTCTGATATAAGGTCAGCACAAATGATCCTCCCACTGTAATGTTTATTCCTGTACCGCGCCCTAAAACTAATTTGGCCTGAGCTGAGGCACAGGCCTGAGCAAGTTAAACATGCTTACTCTTAGAGTTCAAATGCAAAGTCTTACCCATTGTTAAAAATACTGTAATACGAAGGTGGGTGTTCATTCGGAAGCAGACCATTAGCCACAGGACTTCGAGTCACTGCAGAAGCTGAAGACTCAGGAAAGTAAGGTGGTGGGGGCGGGGGAAATATTATCACAGCATCACCTAAGGAAACACAGTATTTCGTTGAAGACAGGTGAGAAGGAAATGCAAGCACATGAGCAAGAGCAAAATAAATCAATGCTATGTTTGGCCCATGCGCGTGAAAGGTCAAAACACCTATGCCAACTCCAGAATTGAAACGTGGGACAATCAAATTCCCAGAGACACAGAGTGGACGTAGCCAGGGGCAGGGACAAGGGGGAACTGGAGTGAATGTTTAATGGGGGGCGATTTCTCTTCGATGATGAAAAACTCCTAGAACTTGATAGTGGTGCCGGTTCCAGTACACCGCGGAGGCACTTAATGCCGCTGTCCCCTTACAAATGCTGAAAATGGTAAATTTCATGTGATCTCTATTTCTCCACAATTTTTTCAAACAGTGGGCCGATATTTCCTGGCAAGTCTGAGCTAACACGTTTCTGTGAAGCCTTGGCTTCCTTGGGCTGTCTACTGCTGCAAAGCCTTACTCATTCTCAAGTTAAAATTGTGATTCATCAACGCTTAGCTGTTGGATGACGAGCCTTGTTTCTTACGTGCAGTTTTAGTCTCTGAACAAATGACAGCAAGCCGGGTCATGGCCGGTCTTTGCCATTGCCATGGCTGTGGTGTGTTCTCTTCTACAGGTGTTTTTCACCATTTCACCAAAGCTTTACAAAAGAAAGTCACGCTCAAGATAAGCTTGGTTTTTTTGGGTTTTGTGTTTTTTGTTTTTCTGTGGGTTTTTTTGCTTTTTGGTCTTGTTTTTTGTTTTTTGTTTTTTTTTTTTTGCATTTCTGTTGCTACTGTTCATTCCAAAGCACTTCCCATGTTTTGGGGAGGAGACAGTAGAGAGCAGCTACAAGCTCTCATGTGTACTCCAATTCCAATATGAAATGCACCACATGAGTTGCCCAGATCATTCTAGCCATGCGGCAGCACCACGACGTAGAGGTCAGAGGGCAGCCCCTGATAAGTCAGCAGCACCAAATGGCAGCTCAGACAAAAAGAAGGAGAGAGGACTTGAATGCACTGCAGGGAGGGAACCGGTTTGCACTGGCAGCAGATCTGACACTTGTGCAGGTCAGTACAAGATTCTTTAACGCTACCAGGGGGCCATTTGCCAAATACCAGCCCAGCGTGGCCCCACACAAGGGGGGCCTTGGCTGTCACATCTGTGAACTGCAGGTCATCCCTAACTGTACCTGCCTCAGAGGACAGGCAGGAGGGCTGGATTCTTGTGTGGTGGTTGAAACAGTGCTGGCCGCACAGCGGACTCTCTCAGCTCTAAACACACCCGCGAAGGTGCTTAAAGCTCAAGCCACCAGCAAGTGGCACTGACCCACATGTCCGATGAAACACTCCCGGCTGGCAGCCACTCCCCACCGTATTGCCTCAACTGCCTCCCCAAAGGGGACTTAGCCCTTCTGAAAATGTGTTAAGTCTTTCCCTCCTATAAGCACATGGCGACTAGAGCTTAAAATATACATTGCTAACCTAACCTTGATAACATATAATAGTTATCTTGGGATCCTCATGTAATTTTTCTTGCCGGTCTCTGTAGGTCGGAGGAAGTAAGGCTGACTGTGCACTTTAATTATACAGCGTAGAACAAAGGCCCTGGGAATAAGCCTCTAGAGCAGGCCAGTCACCTATCCAACACAAACAAGGAAGTGCTCAAAGCCACCAGCTGTCTCTGGGGCTTGTCCACACCTCTGCCCATCGGCTCCCCGCCCTCCCCAGCCTTGTAACCTGCTCTCTGGGAAAGCAGTCCCGACCCCCCCAGGTTGCCCTTTCACTATGTCCCGTAGAACTTGATGTCTTTGAGTTGACAGCAGACATCCCTCAAGGGAGGCCTGTCTCATAGCCTTGCTTATGTTTCTAGGACCCAGCATGGAGTGTGCCTGTGATGGGGAAAGCATGGGTCTGGGGAGGAGGGGCTTCCATTCTGGGACCAGCTGAACTCTGGGACTTGGCCAAGAACTGCCTCTTATCACTCCAATCCCTCATAAGGCAGAACTGGCCATTGACAGACAATGTCTAGAGTCTTGTCAATTATGCTAAAAGGATGACTTCTAAAAACCCGAACCCAAGCCCATAATATCAAAGGAGAGAAGACCAAGGGGTTAGGCTGCCACTTTCATAGGTGTAATGGTACTTCAAGGGCTAAGTGGAAAAGCCAGCATCAGGACCAGACCACTCAGGAGTCACTGTGTCCCAGCACCAGCAGCTCTGCTTTCTGCTGCCCCCCAACTCCAGTCACCAGGAGGGAGGCTGAGCCCCAAAGATCTCTTGATAATAAACCCCAAGGGCATACCTTGAACTGCCCCCAACTAAGTAGAAGACTCTAAGCAGCAAATGAGTGTATTTACTTACACCCTCCGTGTTCCCCAAAAGGACTGAGAACATCTGTAACGTAGGGTGAGTCCTTAGTCGCATAATGGCCACGCAGAGCACTAGGCGAAGCCAGCAGAACTAGAATTGCCACCAAGTGTCCCAAGGCCCTCCCGAAGGGCTATATGGGGCCATGGTGTATATGTGCCCACCTGCCTGGGTTGGGGGTCCTGGCTCTGCCCCTTACTAGTTTGTGTCTTCGGCAAGTCATGTGATAGCCCTGTGCCTCTGTTTCGTTGTCTCTAACGCAGAGATACTAAGACTATGTGCCTCATTGGGTTGTTGTAGGTATGAAAGAATCTGGTAGAGGAGGCCCTTGAAAAATACCTGGATGGGTTATCTGGTCCCAGGATAAACCCTGTGTCTGGGTTAGCTATTATTAATGTATAACTAACATTGGTGTGGTCACCATAAACATATAAATACACAAATAAGTAAGCTGGGAGCTTCAACCATGGCTCAAGGACTTGTCTGTAAACCCGTCTGCCCTTGCTCTGCAAGGCCGGTGCCATGCGAGGCTGGCTGGCAGTCCAGGGAACCCGCACTGTGAATACCGCTACCTCCAACGGGCAGCCTCGAACATGGGAGACATTCCCCTTCTCTGTTCCCTCCTTCTCTGTTTCTGCCCCATCATGCTCTTTGCCTAGCCTTGTAGATGTCAAGGCTATGGCTTGAGAGCTTTACACTTTCCAAAGTAGGAGACTGGGGGAAAAAAGGGAGGGTGGGGAGGGATTTGCAAAACTGAACAGCAATGGGGTTTTTCATTGGTTGTGTGAAACTGAGGCAAAAGCTACTGATGTTCTGTAGGGGGCCAGACTCTGGGAAATAGCAATGCAGCTCTTCTGCAGAACCCAGAGAACGCAAAAGTCACGTCCAGGCATTCCATGGGGGACAGAAGTGACAGGGGCGATCACATTTCATCTTCGTCTGTGCCACTATTTCCAAACTTCGCCTCCACCCCGGGAGCCAACGATAAAGTTACAGCAAATGAGTAACGACGTGGGAAACCATGCAGAAAGCCCCCTCAAAACGGAGAAGATGGGTGGACTTGGGACAGACGGATCTTGGAATGTTAGTGCTGGACGGAATCTCAGCAATGCAATGCTCATTTTACAGATATGTAAACTAAGGCCACAAGAGGTTAAGGACTTACCAAGGACCGCCAGCCAGTGATAGCCAGGGGTGAGGATCTGCATGGCCAGCACACAGTGCCATACGTTTCGGTGTACTTGGCAGGTCTCTAACGTGGCAGAAGGCGCCCAGGCTACCCTAGCAGTTTCTGTCACTTTCCTCTTAATTTGCTCTGTGACCTCAGTCAGGGTCACAACTTCATGTCCCAATGCTTTTGCTAAATAGTAAGGAATTGCTGGGAGGAGATGGTGTGTACAAGGATTCTTACAGGGCTTGACACGGCAGCAGGACTGTGTATGTGTGCAGATGTGTGCAGGTGTGCGTACGTGCGCACATGTGTGTATGAGGGAAACAGAAGAGAGAGAGCTTCTAGGCCAGACCCGAGGGCAGCCCCGTGAGGCCTTGATGCTGCAGCCCCTGTGTTATAAGCATGCATAGGAATGACAGCCACCTACCTACAGTGACCTGGATGGGCTCCATATTCTCAATCTGTCTGTCTTCACTTTCAGAGGCATCCTGGCCCATCGAGTTGTTTTTCTTCTTCACATGGGCAACCACAAAGAAACACAATCCCATGAGTACAATCAAGGGTCCCATGATCTGCAGGGACAGGAAGCCACAGATCTGGGGCTCCATGTCGGCAGTGTCTGTCTCATTCAGGGATTCCTGTGCCCAGTCAGAGCCACACCCAGGGACCCAAATGCCAAGTATGCTGATGAGCATGCCGCTTGTCAAGAACAGAAACCCGAAGATGAGGTACTGGGCAAACTGGCGGCTCTCTCCACAGATGAAGGCTCGGTCAGGGTCCGCCTGACTGCCTCGCAGGCGTCCCTCCCGGTGCTGAAGTCGCGCCCGGGAGCGGGCCAGGATCACAGCCCCAAGCCCAATGGCGGCACATGCAGGCCCAGCGACCTTGAGCACCATGCTGCAGTCTGGGAAGGTTTTGTATTGGCATGTCTGGAACCCAAAGATGGAGAGCAGGACGCCCACACACAACAGGATGGCACCAAAGACAAACAGGAAGAAAATGAGCTTGCTGACGCTCCTGTCTGGCTGGACCCCATCTGGTTCAGCAGCCGCCACGGGAGACATGGCCCAGAAGAGGCCCCTTCCCCAGAACCGTGCAGAATGGGTTTCCTTCCCTCCAGTGGTTGCTTTCAGCAGCTCTGCAAATGTAACCAAACACCAAATTAAAGTGGGCACAGGTGTTCCTGACCCGCCCTGGCCATTGCAGAAATCATACTAGGATGAAATCATAGGAATAGAACTTTATGCAAGTGATACACTGGGGAACAATGAGCTGGTGTATGAGTCAGAAGCCCTGGTATTCAGAAACTCTTGAATACGTAATTTTATGAAGATATTCAAGAAGAGGAAATGCAGTTACCATGCACCTAAGAGTGTCTTGAAAAAAAAAAAAAACAAAATCCATACAACAAACTAACTGGGTGTGGCTTTTCCTGTTATGAGTCTTACAAACCCACTTCCCCAGGCAGGAAAACAAAACAAAACAAAACAATGGTGAGTGAGGGAAGAACTACGGGAATTATTTCTGATTTACAGACGTCCCACGTTTCATCACAGCTGCTCTGAACACTTCTAAGTCAGTAAAATTTCGTTCAGTAACTAACTTTCCATTTCCTGTTTTAGACTGCGGCAACTTTCCATTCCCAGCTTTATTCTAAGGCTGTAGCATCTCCAGGCGGCCCAAGGTCAGCAGTTTCAATTGAATGGGAAGGCAGTTTGGGAACAGAGTGGGTCTGGTGGATTTCAAGTTAACTATGTCGAAATTTGAATCTTGAGCTCTCAAACAGGCACTGGCACTGCAATGACTCAAAGTCCTGAGGCCTGGCTGACCGGGGTTGGGATGACCCAGGGGTGGGTGGGTGGCACAGCGGGTCAGGCAGGGGCCTTGCCTCCCAGAAGTGCAGGTGGCCTCTCACCTACCCTTCTCCAAGGTGCCTCTCACCTCCACAAAAAGGTTTAGGCTCTGTTAAAAATAAGCAACCAATAAAACCACCAGTTACAGAGCACTAAACAGCAAGAGAACTTGACTGTGGAAGAAGAGAACAAGTGGGACAGTACCTTCCACAGGATCACCAAGCGCTGTGCTAACATTATCATAAGCAGTTGTTAAGAGGTTATCCATTTGATGCACATTGACTTGATCGTCTAGTTATCTCGTCTTACTCTACTGAGTGGAATATTTTACCAGGACCCTTCAAGTTGAGGCACTGGAAAAGACAACCTAAACGTGAACACCCTTTTTACTTGCTCAAGGGAAGAGAACTTAAACTATTTTGTGCCGTTTGTATCCATGATCACATGAAGGAGGTCGAGATTGAGGCTCTAAAGCCAAGGCCATCTTGACAAACCCAAATCAGGTCCGAGGGAGGTCAGTTTAGGTAATGAAAGCAAACAGCTGGTCTTATACTAGGAAGTACTTTTCCAGGAAAAAGTGCACTGAAATCAGAAGGAAGTTGGGGCAAGAAGGAAATATAGGAGGGAAATAAGCTTCCATTTTAAACCTAGACAGACTATATTCATGAAGATGCCAGTAAGCTGAGACAAACACTTAAAAGACACGATTGCAGGGGCGCCTGGGTGGCTTAGTCGGTTAAGCGTCCGACTTTGGCTTAGGTCATGATCTCGAGGTTCGTGGGTTCGAGCCCCGCATTGAGCTCTGTGCTGACTGCCAGCTCAGAGCCTGGAGCCTGTTTCAGAGTCTGTCACTCCCTCTCTCTCTGACCCTCCCCTGCTCACGCTGTCTCTCTCTCTCTCTCCTAGAAATAAATTTAGGAAAAAAAAAAAAAGACACGATTGCACTAATTAAAAAAAAAATCTGCATCATGTAATCTCTTTTGCTGGTTTCAGAGATAAGGGGATTCTCCGCTACAAAGCCCCATCGGGAATTCATTGAATTCCTGATACCTTCAACTCTGAAGCAAGTCATAAGTTCAAATGACTTAAGGCAAATTCCCAAATACTGGTAAAGTAAGTAGAAGCCTAAAACTGGATTTGTAGCTCTTTTCCATGGACTAGTGAACCACGCACCTGCCATTATGTATTAATCCCTCATCCAAAATAGCGTGTGGGTAGTCACTTTGTCTCCTATACATGAGACAGCCCCAAACGGACACAAAGACATCTACACAAACAGAAAATTAAACCTTCTAAAAATACCAACCTACATTTAACTTCCCAAAGCCAAATCCACCTCCCCAACGCTATTTTCCAAAGGGCATTTCCGAATCAACAGCATCTCTGCAAGCCTCAAGCCCTGGTGCATTTGGGTATCCCGGCAAAGACAGCCTGAAGTCTTTTACCGGGAATAGTTCCGTGGTGTTCAGGGCGCCGGAGCGCAGCGACAGCCCGGCGCGGTTCAGCTTGAGGCTCCCAGCCTTGCAGGTTTAGCTCGCGGTCTCCCGCGCTGGCGCCGCGTCTCGCCCCAAGACTTGGTCCCAAAAGCGCAGCGCCAGACCCCGCGCGCGAGTGCGGAGAAGCGCGGGGACCAGAGCCGCTTACCTGAAGCTTCGTCCGGCGTGCGCGCTGCCTGCGCCGGGGCGCGTCCCGGGAGCCTGGCACGGGCCTCGGGGTCCGCGCTCTGGGAGGCGGCGCTGGCCGTGGGCACCCGGCTGGGCGCGGCCTCCCTGCGGCGGCCGGCACCGCACGCTCCCACCTGCGCGTCCGGGCGCGGAGGGCGGGCCGCCGCTGTATTTACAGAAGGAGGCGGTGCCCGAGGGGGCGCGGCGGGGCAGGGCCGGCTGGCGGGAGCTGGCCGCCGCCGGGTGCTGCCCTTCGGGGCCGGAGGCGCACCCGGCGCGGCCGTGGAGAACGGGGGGCGGCCTCGAAGCCCAGGGCTGGCAGATTTGGCCGCTTCTGCGCCCGTGACCGTGCGCGCAAGGAATCCAGGAAAAATGGGCACCCCCGCCACAGCCCTGGCCCGCAGCCGCGGGAGGGAGGGCGCGGCACGTTGAGGTTCTCCTCCTGGCTGTCCGAACTCCGCGCTGCGCGGGCCAAGATCCAGGGAGGAGGAAGGGAGCCGGTTCCCTTCGGGGCGCCCACTCCTCGGCCCGGAGTTGGGGCAGGGGGAGACGTGGGAAGGGCAATCGCCCGCCGGCCCTCTCCGATGTGGCGGTGGCCCAGACAGGACGGGGCCCCGCGTTCCTGAGGCCGCGCTTTCGGCCACGACGCCGTCTAGGGCTGTTCTGCCCAGTGGCGTGTGGCTCTCCTGCCCCTCCGGAGACCTTGCCGGGGTCACTGGAGCAAGTCCCTCGCTGCGAGCTCCCCGACCAGAAAAGGGTTATGGAGACACCAGGTCACTGAAACTTGCGCTCTATTAGAATGTGGGACAAGGGTCCTCCATACCTGAGCCATCCAGGCAGGAGGTCCTAGCTCCAAGGCTGAAGCAGGTCAGCTCTGTCCCTTCGGCACTCACACGTATCTTCACAGTCCACCTTCCCGGAGAACCCCCTTTCGGTTTCTCAGTTGTTAATAGTCTGCTGGAATTAAACTGGTAACTTTCCCTGCCCTTGAACCAGTGGTTTCGGGATGGGTTTGCTAATCCCCATGCTATTTGTAACCTGCCCCATGACACGTGACACAGACCCAACCGCACCAGTTTCCACACCAGAGGTCAGGGCGCAGAGGAAGGTGAATCAAGGGCTCAGCCCACGTACAACAGTGAGGGGAGCCCTGGAGACTTTCCGCATCCCCACCGCTTCTCCCAGCTTCCTGGCCCCTTTGCCTGAAAGCCAGTGGGGAAGTTAATGCCAATTGCTCTAAGCTTTTCAAAGTGTGAGCACTCTGCGTATCTAATACAGCAAGTTGTCCTCATAGGTCTTAGCTGATTTCAAAGGTTGAGAAGGAGACTCTCAAAGAAGGGGGCAGAGGGAGGCAGAGGGAAGGGAGCTTCCCTGGGCTTTGAGTGCCGGACCCCCGGGTCTGCAACATGAGGCTTGGGGAGGGAGGCATATCGGACAAGTTCCAGCATTGGGATTTGCGGGGGAGCAGTTGTGGCCAAATGTGGCCTTTCTCACAGCCAGAGTGCCTCGGCCCCTGAGAATCTCTGCCCTGACTGAAGATCTCTGATTGTCACTGTAATGAATAATACTGACATCACCACCCCTTGCTCTGCACCAGGCTCTGCATGACCCACTCCACCTACAGCCTCTGCTTCTTCCGTGTTTCCAGCAACTCAGAGACAGCTGCAGCCAAGGAGGATGGGGGGGCTAAAAATCGGTCCATTCTCAGTTGCGGAAACCAAGGCTCAAAGGCAAAAATTGACCTCCCCAGCTGACTCGTACAGAGCGGGGCCCTGAGCCAGATGGACTGACTATTCGTCCTAGATACACCTGTCACCCAGAGGACACACCGTGCCATGAACTCAGAACATGGCTTTTTATTACACCGCTTTTTAATCATTGTAACAATATACACACTGTATCCCAAGGACATTGCAGCAATCAGTCTGGTCCGTCCCGGGTGGAGATCCTGGTCAAAGTGTCAGGATATTTCCAAGGTAGGGAGACCTCAAAGTACACCTAGCTAACAAGCAGAGGGCCAGCAGGGGCGATTTCACCACAGCCGGGGACACCTTGCTTTCTAAGAACACAAGCCCTGAATATAGAAAGTGCTCTCCCTACTCAGGCCTGCTAACAGCCCTTTCTTGTACAAGGGCGCTTCCGTGTACACATGCGTTTCTTCTCCCGTAGTTGAAACTCAGTCTCTGGCCACGTGGTGTGTGGACCTTCAAGGGCCCTGTTGACACAGCTGCCCCCCGGGCCACATGACTGCAGGCTGGCCACACATGACGGACTTGAACGTACTGGCACCAAGGACGATCAGATTAGCCTCCTCTTGGGATATATCTACTGTTTGGACTGTTTGTCTTTTGGAGCCTGTTTGACTAAATTAAAATCCTTAGAAACTGATCAGCGGTCAAGTAGGAAAGACATGACCGTGAGCCTCCAAGGTGCTCATTTTCGCAGCAGACCTACTTTTAGGAAAGAGGCTGGGTCACCTCCTTCCTGTGTATAAGCCAAGAGGCCTTTTCCAGCTTGTGTGGTAGTGAGAAAAGGTAAGACCAGACAGAAGCCTTAGAGCAATAGCAGCAGAACGAGCTATTAAAAATGGATGAATCTTGAGTTCAGGAAGTGAATGTGGATGGTGAAGATGTGACATGCATTCATTCATTCGTGCGGCAAATATTTAGTGGTACTGACCATACGCCAATAAACAAGACACAAAATCCTTTGCCCTCCGGGAACTTCTATTTTAATAAGAAGGAGAACGAAGCTTTAAAAAGAGACACATGTATGCTATTCGTTATCCGGAGCATTAGCGGGCAGTAAATGCTGTGGAGAGCAAGACATCACAGAAGGAGGCTGGGGAGATTCCACTTTCAACAGGGTGGTTAAGGAAGGCGGCTCTGAGAGGGCGATCCCGCAGCAGAAGGGAATGAGGAAGCAAGCATATTGATGATCTATTATCGCATAACAAATTACCCCTAAACTTAAAAGCTTAAAACAACAAAGATCTGTTATCTCTCACTGTTTCTGAGGGGGCAGTTCTGGCTGCGGATCTCTTGTGAGGTTGCAGTCAAGCTGATGGTTGGGGCCTGACTGGGGCTGAAGATCTGCCTCCAGGGTGGCTCACTCCCATGGCTCTGGCAGGAGGCTTCAGTCTCCTACCGTTCAGACCTCTGCACAGAGCTGCCCGATTGTCCTCATGACACGGAAGCTGACTTCCCCGAGACTGAGTGATCCAAGGGAGAGCAGAGGAGGGGGAAGATGCAGTGCCTTCCATGATGCAGTCTCTGAAGTCCCACACCCTCACTGTGCTTTATTTTGTTCCTTAGAGTTGGGTCACTAAGTCAAAGGGAGGGAAACTAGGCTCTGCTTCTTTTTTTTTTTTTTTAATTTTTAAAATGTTTTATTTATTTCTGAGAGATAGAGACAGTGTGAGCAGGGGAGGGTCAGAGAGAGAAGGAGATACAGATTCTGAAGCAGGCTCCAGGCTCCAAGCTAGTTGTCAGCACAGAGCCGGACGCGGGGATTGAACCCACGAATCGTGAGATCATGACCTGAGCCGAAGTCGGTTGCTTAACCAACTGAGCCACCCAGGCGCCCCAACTAGGCTCTGCTTCTTGAAGGGGGTGGGTACCAAGGAACCCGTGAACGTATTGTAAAACTGTCATCAGGGATTGATAGTGATATTTTGGCAAAGAAGGGAAGAGCACTTCAGACAAAGGAAAGAGCAGGTGGTAAGCCCTGAGGCAGAAGCAGTATGGCATATTCAAGGAAGAACAAGAGGTGAGAGTGAGAGGGTGACTAGGTGAGCAAGGGGATGAGGAATAGGGGAGGAAGTCAGAGAGGAAAAGTGGGAGGGGGGGGCGGGGCACATGCACCACAGCTTTGTGGTGCTCTGAGTGAGATGAGAAGTCTTCGGAAGCTTTTTTAGCTGCGTGTGTTGTAGTCTGACTTGTTTATTTTTTTATTTTAGGGAAACAGTGGCTTCCAGGCGAGAATAACCTGAGGTCCTCCTCAGCCTCAGGAAAGCTAGAAGGGAGACGTTGAGGAGGCGGATATAATAACCCAGGAGAGAAATGACTGTGGCTCGTGTTTGGAGGTGACAGGGCAATTGGACCATGTATATGTCAGGAAGAGAGAGTCAAGGGGGTTTTCCTGGGCCTGGATGTGCATTTTGACTTTAAGCTTTTGGGCCTGAGGAACCAGAAGGATGGTTCTGGCATTGCCCCACGATGGGGAAGAATGGGGGCACCTGGGTCGTTCAGTCAGTTGAGCGACCGACTTCGGCTCAGGTCATGATCTCGTGGTTCGTGGGTTTGAGTCCCGCATCGGGCTCTGTGCTGACAGCTCAGAACCTGGAGCCTTTTCAGATTCTGGGTCTCCCTCTCTGCCCCCACGCCGCTCGTGCTGTGTCTCTCTCTCTCTCAAAAATAAATAAACATTTAAAAAGTTAAAAAAAAAAAAAAGATGGGGAGGAATGAAGGCAGGACCAGTCTGAGAGAGGGAACTTTGGGGCGTGTTAACTTTGAGGTGCCGGCTAGACACCTGAGTGGAGAAGCTGAGTAGGCAATAGAACCTACGAGCCCGGAGTCGCGGAATTCCAGGAGGAATACTTTCCTGTGCTGTGTGGGGTCTGCTGGTTAAATCAGTAAGGCTGGGGTCCCCCTTACACGGGCATACGCGGCTACACCGGCTGGGCAGCGGTCAGGGCGGCTGAGGGCCCCAGGCTGACCGCTGCGGGGGTTCCAGTGTGGCCGGGGAGGGGGCGGCGGGCAGCCAGCGTGGCCAGGAGGGACGACTTGCTGCTGCCGCCGCCTTCTACCGCTCTGTTCTCAGAGGGCTGTCCTGCGGAAGCCGTGTCCTCCGCTCCCCGGGGACAGGCCACGTGCCACTCCCCGGAGCGCTGGCAGCGAAGCGGCTCCTCGGGCGGTGCGGACTGGCTTCGGGAACGCAGGCTCGGGTCTCAGGCTCCGCCAGAGCAGGGCGGCCAGTGCGGCTCCCGAGCCTGCCTCCTTCTAGCTGCTCCCTTCTCTGTAGGTCTCTCTCTGCTTCCTCCCCACGTTAACCTCAGCGGCCTGAAGCCTGTGCTTCTCTCTCCTGACATTTCCCGAGACCCTGCTGAGCAGGGGTGTGTGGCCTTGGGTCCCTATGTCAACGACTGTCCCCAGGACTCCCAGCGACACCTGTGAACGTAGGTGGGTGTCGTGCAGCTGCCGCGGTTGGGGGAGGCCGAGGTTCCTGGGTCCTCTCCTTCCTCTGGGCCCCTGTGGGACTTAGAATAGATATACCTGGGTAGGACTGACTGACTCGGAGGGTTCAAGTTGAGGGTTTTTTGAAATTTTTTTGTTTTATTTATTTTTGAGAGCAAGAGAGACAGAGCACAAGCAGGGGAGAGTCAGAGAGAGAGGGAGACACAGAATCTGAAACAGGCTCCAGGCTCTGAGCTGTCAGCACAGAGCCCGATGCGGGGCTCGGACCCATGAGCGATAAGATCATGACCTGAGCTGTAGTCAGACGCTTAACTGGCTGAGCCACCCAGGCGCCCCTCGAGTTGAGGGTTTTTATTTGGTCCCTTCGCTGAACCCCAGTGCAAAGACTAATCTTTTGCAGAGTCATTTTATTGCCTGGAATGGCACTGTTGATTTCGCATGGGCGATAACAGCTTGGCTGGAGTGCAGCGAGCTGGAGCCGGGGCGGTGGAATTCGAGGGGTTGTTTCAGATAGAGCGAGTGAGGATTTGCTGTGGTCTTGGCCCCCACCTGGCCAGAGAGAGAGGGCACTTCGACAGTGGTGGCTGCATGTGAGCAGTCGGCTGGAGGACAGACCAGCACGGCGACAGCAAGAGGTTTCTGGAAACTTGGCCATCTCCTGGCAGCTTGCCTTGCCTCCATCAAACACCTCGTGCCGACTGGGTTGTAAAGAGCAAAGTATTTCTCCCCAGCACGTAAAAGGACATGAGTGGACCACAGTTTCGATCCTGGCTTTGCCACCTAGGAGCTGTGTGGCCCTGGGCAGGTAAACAACTTTTCTGTGCCTCAGTGTCCTCATCTGTAACATGGGAATGAGCAGACCTGCCTCAGAGGATGTCTTGAAGAATAAATTTCTGGCACATGACAGGCCACCAACAATGTATTTCTGGCTAGTCACCTCCATCTGTGCCTCTTCCCTGGCCTGTAATCTTCAGCAAGGCTGATGGGACCAATTGCTGGTGAAGGTCGAGGGATGGGTGAGGACAGAGGTCAGGATGGTCAAAGAGAGTGACATGAATTGTGTTGACTTCTGTTGCTCACTTGCAATGGTCTGAGCCGCTACCAACTCAACGATAGCACACTTCCCAGTTATTTCGAGGGGTCTGCAAAGGTATGTATCACATGATCTCAAAAACAACCGGCTCACACAGCCTCCCTGTGGTGTCTGCCCTGTTCTGCCTCTGCTCCATCTGCCCCCCATCCCCAGCCACCAAAGCTTCTGGAAGGGGCTTTGCTGCTGCTGGTGTCCCCGGAGGGATATGTGGGGACCCTGCAGGCTGCTCCCACAGCCAGTTGGCGGCCAGGGCCCAGGGCTCCACCTGCTGTCCTCTCCTGGGTCCACCTGCATGCCTCAGCCCCATCACGACACCCTCCGTTCTGGCCCTCCACTTCCTGGTTGCCCTCGATGATTCCAGAAAGGAGTCAATTTAGCTTAGGGTGCTCCAGAAATACGACCGGGTGAAGTAAA